TACTGTCTCCAGTGTCAGTGGTGCCTTTGAAGGGAAAAGGCTCCTTCTCTTTTGCGAGCTGGTAACTCTACTCCTAAGAAAGTATCTACATTTCCAAGAGCCTGTTGTACTCCTCTACCCTTCTCCAAGTTTTATTTTTAAAAACCACTTCCCCTTCCCAGCGGGTATCTATTTCTCTCCATATTACTTATGTACATCAATGGCAGAGTCACTGTAGGATTGGGGCTGGTGGCACTCTAGTGTCCCTGCCTGTAGCCAGAGGCATGCTGATTCATTTTCAGACAATCTACTACTACTACCACTACTACTACTATGAGGAGGAGGAAATTGGATTTATACCCCGCCCTTCACTACCCGAAGGAGTCTCAGAGCGGCTTACAAACTCCTTTCCGTTCCCCCTCCCCACAACTAAGAGGAAATGCACCCTGCACATACCTAGAGATATTCTCTTTTTCATCCTTACAGGTGCCTGCTTCAAGACTGAGTCCTGGTATTCATTTCTGTCCTAGTCTAGCTTTAACAGACTAAAAGAATTTTTGGTGCTAGTCTCACCTCCACCATGTCTTCAGACTCCATCCCAAATCTGCAATAGGACTGACCTACCTAACAGGGTGGTTGTGAGGAAATAATGCCCCCAAATTTCCAGGAATGTCTCAACCTGGCGTTGGCAACAATTACAAAGAGTGGCATGACAGATATTTGTAAAATTATGGGTATTTGTGAAGAAACTTATACAGGGAGAATGTTTTCTTTCTTTTGTAAAGCTGGAATATAAAAGTCACCAGGTGGAGTCTGGAATTATATTCCTGGTGGCAGCGACAGATACTTTGAGCGAGAGAAAGAAACAACAAGAAATTTAACGCTACATCACACCTAACCACACAAAATAAGAGAGAGGTACCGTCTCACGTGGTGGCAGAGGTAGGATAAAACATTCTGAGGAAGGGAAAAGACTCAAGGGATATAAAACATTCTGAGGTGAAGGACTTGTCCCAAAGGATAGAAAATCCTGGGAAGAAAGAAAACTCTGAGAGAAAGATTGCTGAGGAGATTTAATGTTCAATTGAATTCTATGAGGGAAATAGAATTGTTACAAGAAGGGGAACTTATGATACTCACGGGGGGGGGAGCTCCATGTGGAGGAGAAGGAAGCAGCCGCAGGTGAGCCTTCTCCCCTTCTCCCCCGCCCCTCCCGCACCAACGGCGAGGCCCGCGCAGCTCCCAGCCACTGGGCCCACAAAGTCTTCTCCCTCCTCCCCCCCGGCACCGAGGCCTGAACTTGGGCCGCCAAGCCTTCTCCT